GCAGGAGGAAACTTGCCGCAGACCCTCCCTCCTCAGAGCCGGCAGGCGATGTTCGGGCCGGTTCTGCCTCCGCAGGACTGCCTGAGCTCTGGGGATCTGATTGGTCAGGATGGACTGATGGACCACTTCCTGCAGCATGAACACAGAACAACACTTTTCAGATTTTCACACATTTTTTAGCATCACAGGAAGGTTACTGCGGTTATGGGACCAAAGAAAAACGTCTAAATCTGACCTCTGCTGAGAGCTGCTCCCACTCGTCCCGCTGAGCCTCCTCCTCGGCCGGAGCCGCAGCTCTGGTAGCCGACACATCGGGCCCTGCAGCCCAGGGGAATCTCTTCATGTAGCTCCTCAGCTCGGCGACGTACCGATCCAGAACGTTCATGCAGCTCTGCACGCCCGAGTCCTCGTCTGCAGACGCAGCAGAGCAGCGTCAACTCGGACACCTGTATTAATGCTCTGTGTGTGTGTGTGTGTGTGTGTGCTTGTTCTCTTACGGTGTGTGTTGGACAGCACGGAGCGGATCTGCGTGTTCACGAAGCTCAGGGTGATGTTGAGCAGCTGCTCAGAGAACTGTCGGCTCTGGGCTTCACTGTTCGAGTCTCTGACGGCCGAACACAGCAGGTCTAAGGCGGGACACAGCTCCTGCACTCCTGCAGGGGCGACGGCTCGTTACACACGATATCACAAAAAAATAAGAAATCAGGAAGGGGACAGATATTTGTATCACAGCAGTTTACCTCTAAAATTATGTGTTTTCTGATGTTACAGACTTGTTGTTAAACTGAACGATGCTTTGTGCTGTTGCTTCGTGTAATAAGCACCAACAAACTCTTTCCTGAACTCGTTTCAGGGAAAGTTGTTTTGGAAGATTTGCATTCAACGGCATCCACGTGCATCTGCGAGCAGTTTGCACGCTTCTCTGCCTGTGATCTAAAACGTGTGCTTGTAACGTGGCGTGCACGTACTGTCTGTGAGGCTCAGCGTGGAGGCGGCGGGCTGATCAGCAGAGCTGAACGCTGCCGCCGGAGGGCTCAGGACGTTTTCTTTGCTCTTCAGGTAGAAATCGACCGTGTCCAGCTGACGGTTCTTCAGTCCAGTCTGTGCAACAACAAAGAAGACAAACTGTTTGATGCAAATGTCATAAACAGTGGAAACAAAGTAGAATTTGTTTTTACTTTTCTTAATGAATAGATAACAGAGTTTTTTGTTTCAGGATTTTCTCTCTCACAGAACCATCAAAGATCTCAAAAATGTTTTTCTGTGATCAGAACGAGGTTTGATTAAATATACAGCTGTTTGCTACCTGCAGGGCGTGGATGGGGATGGAGCAGCGCCCCCAGCTGTTCAGGTGGCAGACTGCGTCCACTGTCGCCGCGCTGCCGAACAACATCAACCGGCTGAGCAAGTCCTGCTGCGATACGGAGAACAGGACCTGGAACACACCGGCCTCTGACACACACACACACACACACACACACACACACACACACACACACACACACACAGGATGTGAGGTTACTGGAGGCGGGGCTTGCTGATTTGATGCGGTCCCTGCTGTCTTTCCTTTCTTTCACAGAAACACGAGCTGTCAGGTGATCGCGCCGCTTCGACACAAACTGCAAGTTTTTGAAAATTACTTGGACAAAAAACTAAGTTGGATTCATTTGTGCAGAGTAACCGTGTGAACCTTTGGCGCCCTGTCGGGCTGCTGAGGCCATCACAGCAACAGTGACCTGGAGCGCGGCGACTTACTCTTCAGCAGCAGCCGATGCTGCCGCTCTCCACAGCGCTGGACCGGCGCTGCCTCGCCCGCCGCCTGGTGGTATCTCACGTTCCCGTACTTCATATCCCACAATGCAACGGTGGTCTGTTGGTTTCCCGGGCGGACGAAGGTCAGCAGAGCGGAGAACTCAGAGACGGTGAGTTGAGATGAAGCGGCCGATTCGGGGACGGCGAAAGCGACGGTCATCCCCCCCGGAGGCACTCTGCTGTGGGACGAGGATGGAGCCAGGTGGGAGTCCAGGTGGGGGAGGGAGGAGAACCAGGAGGAGGTCCTGGGAGGCTGAGATGAAGAGAAGCAGGAGGAGGAGGAAGGAGCAGTGGCCTGTTTTGCTCTGCTGTACATGGAGTTGAGACGAGCCTCCCAGGAGCTGGAGTTGAGGTCAGAGGTGAAAGGTCAGAGGTGGACCCTTCTCTCTTCTTAAAATAAATAACTATTTTAACAAACAAAAATCAAGAAAGTTTCGGTCACAGCTCATAAATCCAGACGCTGCGCAGCTTACCGGTCGGTGCTGAAGGTCGCTCCCAGGGCCGAGACGCTGAAGCTGGAGCTCGACAGGCTGTCCTGGTCTCTGGGGTGCTGCGGCTGAAGAGGGGGGCGTGACCGAGGGGCGGCGCACAGCAGGTGGTCCGGAAACATCCTGAAAGACAGATCATGACTCTGAAGTTTGCTCTGTGCCGTCTCTGCAGTGCAGAGCGGGATTAGCTCGCAGACGAGTCGGCGCCATTAGATTTTCCCTGTTTGATGCAGTTAATCGGTTTAATATTTCTCCAGCTGAGCCTGAACCTCACGCACAGGATCAGAGCGCCGCAGACGAATCCACCCCGCCCTCGCCGTTTCTGCTTCTGTCACCATTCTGAGAATCTTTTCAGCACTTTATGTGACGCTTTTCACCTGAATCACCACAAACAGACTCTAACACAGACACTGCTCATCGACATGCCTTCTACGTCATTGCACTGACTTTATACCTGAAGTAGTGGTTGAGGTCGACGGCGATGGCGGCGTGGGACTGAGTGACGGCCACGGCTGTGCTCAGATCAGCAGACACCTGGAGGAGGCAGAAGGAGGGAGAGGAGGAGAAGGGGAAAGAGGTGAGCTCGTCCTCTGCCGGGCTGGAGCTCAGGTAGGCGGGCAGGCTAACGCTGGCCAGCAGAGTGCCATCAGAGACGCTGCACACAGCTGGAGGGGGTGGAGTTAAAGAAAAGGATGTATGGACAAAAACGAGGCGCTTTATTTCATGCATTCATGAAAGTTACACTGCAAACAATTTGAGAGGAATGTATTTAAATGCTTCATAAAAAGGAGAACTCCATCATCGATACACATCCCTCTTTCCTGTCTCTTAACTAAAGGGACGCTCTCTTGGACGTAGAGGACGGAGAGTGGATGATGAAGATGGAGCTGCCAGGCAGGAGGAAAACAGGAAGGCCTCAGAAGAGGTTCGTGGATGCAGCAAAGGAGGACGTGGTACTGGGATGGACCATAACAGCAGCAGCTGCAGGAAGAAATCACCCAGCGATGTCTGTTTTCATGAATGATGTTATTGTTGGGGGATCATCTGCAGGACTTCCACCGCCCGTCAGTGCACATTTGCCCTGATCTCGTGCTATGATGCACTTACTGGTGTTGTGACCTTCTGCACACTGTTACTCGTGCTGACCTGTTTAGGACGGTGTGAGAGTCATGAGCCATGTTCTCAGTGTGTAGCAGTGAGACCGTGAAGGATACATATGAGTCCAGTGGAGCTGAGGGCAAACAGGGTTTCCATGGAGACGCAGTGATGGACAGCAGAGCACGAGACGCTGTCGGCCAGCTGGACTCTGCAGCAGGATAACGTCTGAGGCTCCTCCTCCTCCTGCTGCCACTGTAGCTGCAGCAGCCAATCAGAGTTCAGCAGAGCGCAGCAGCGGGCAGTCACAAAGGACAACACCTGCACCGCCTGCAGCTCGCTCACACCTGGGAGCAAACACTCGGTCAGCTAATGCGACACGTTAATAGCCGCGGGTGGTCTAGACGGTTTTGGTACTCACTGGGGTCCTGGTCTCTGATGGTCTGCAGCAGGCGGTCTGCAGGATACTCGCACACACAGAGCGCAGAGGTGAAGGCCGACCGCTCAGCCCTGACCTCCAGCAGCTTCAGGTCACCCTGAGATCCCACAGCCAGCAGCCTGAAGCCGCCGACTCCCCGAGAGTGGACGGACACCTCCTCCCACGAAAAACTGTGAGCAGAAAGAAACTTTTAGAAAATCTGCTTGTTTACCTGCAGTCCTGGGCAGCCCTCACTAACCGACACAGCACAGGGAGGACGTCTGCTGACCTCCAGCTGCAGTATCAGCTGTCTTTGGAGGCCTTTTACTGGCTTTTTGTCTCCGTTTGTGCAGCTGCACTCCACAGAGAGCCACGCACTGCAGTGCTTCAGCATACAAACACATGTTGGTGTTTTAGTAATACATGCATTTATTTCAGCCCATTTTCTTATTGTGTGTGTGTCACATTACCCAAATCATGTAGATATTTTAGCAAACATCAAATAGTCAGAAATCACAGTTAAATGTTAGCTGGACAGTGCCAGGAGGAGCTCTGTTTGATGGCTTCTAGTTTAAACAGAGGATGTCTCAGATCCAACGCATTTTCATGTTAAACCAGTTACTCGGAGATTATTCAGCGTTATCACAGTCACTATCTGTGCGGTTCCTGCTGACTCACTCTCGGTAGCTGCCCTCCACTGCAGCCGGAGAAGCCTCTCTGTCCGCCGGGTCCCACACCACCAGCGGCCCCCGGACCCCCAGACATCCGAGCAGGGAGCCTCCAGGAGCAAGCTCGGCTTTCCGTACGTCCGCTACATCACCACAGTGCTGATTTTCCGGGATCACAGCTACCTCCGTGGATCCAGCCTGCAGCCGCTGATCCGCTTCCAACATCTTCGCGAGGTGAACCGGGACCGGAGAAACCGGATTAAAGGTCTAACTGTGAGCTAAGAAGACATTTTAGTTTCAAAAGAAGAATAAATCTGCTGTCGAAGCTCTTTCGATACTTCCTTTTCTCATGTAAACAGCTGCTCTGTTTCAGTTGTCACGTGTGCTGCCTCTACTGTCAGCTGACCTCCGCGGAAACTCATGCGCAATAACGTCATCGTGGATCGATTGCTTTTCCCTGGACCCAGCTCTAGAAAGCGACACGCTAATTGGCTGAGACTAACACCGCCGATCTGTATACAGTTTAGCAGTTAGCGCTCATGCTAACTGTAGCTGCTTGGTTCCATGGTCGCAGATAGAGATCTGCTGAAGGCGCGCTGCTGTACGCTAACGGCTGTCTCTTAGCTTTCCTGCCAAAGTCACCGCGAAAGGTCCCGTTTATTATGGCGTTTTCTAAAACATGGAAGCAGTGTTGAGCCTCGTGTCGTTAACTGTCACGAAGGTTTTACAGTTCTCCGGACTGACGGACAACTGGAATGCCCCGAGGGCCAAAAAGATGGAGGAGAAAGCGTTAGAAGTGTACGGTACGTTCAGCCGGTAATGGAGGCTAATGGAGGCTCTGGTCTCATAAACAAGGCTCTACTGCACTGTCAGCTAACCTGTCTACGTACTGTAAGTCTGTAAACCCACGGCCAGGATACTGACAATAAATACCAACGACTGTAAATAACGTTAAACACATGCAGTCAGTGATGACTACCGCCACACTGTAAGAAAAACTATCTGAGTAAGACTTTTGTCAGTTTTGCTCGCAGATGATTAAATCACGCGCCGAAGTGTCGACCGTGTAATGAGCTTTAGCAGGTGTTATAGATTAGTAGTAAAAACCTAAACTGTTGAAGATTAAGTTAAATGTGAGATTATTGAACTGGAGTTTGGTGCGACGAAAGAAAAGATTTGTCTGGTTAAACATGTGGAAAAGGTTAGAGAATTAAAACTTACGCTCAACATTTGACCTATTTGTAACTGTCCTCAGTAAAACTACACGAGGTTTCCATCCACTCGTCACAGGCTTGAACCTCACAGTCATTTTGGGCTTTTAATGATTTCTTGGAACGGTTCTTCTTCCAGGATGGACAGTTTTAAAAAACTTAAACAGGATCTGGGTGCTCAAGTCTGAATTGATTTTGATGTTTACGTGCACATGCTGAAAGCTTGTGATAAATGATGTTGGAGGTTCTACAATGTCTTTAAACTTGGCCGAGGCCTGTTAGCTTCTCATTAGTGATCATGGTTAATTACGACTGACAGATTCTCTCTGCAGCATAAAAACGATTTGTTTGACAGCATTCACTGGATTGACCAATACTGGGAACAATGGGAAAGTCCAGCCATCTCAGTGAAGATCTGAAAAGCAGAAGTTGGGAAAGTCTCTCTGAGCCGTTTCTGAGCAAGGATCCAAGATCACACAAGTTACTCAGATCTGTCCCCACTGAGGTCTGGGAGACACCCAGACTGTCCCCCTCAGCTCAAATGAGCAGCTAGCCGAGTGAAACGGGGACACAGTCAGGAGTTCCAACAGGACAACGATCCCAAACACACAGCAGAACTGGCTTTGGATAAAGCAGGCTAACACTGGGCTTAGCATTGAGCGTTTCAAACCCCTGAAAATTTGTGGACCAGTTTAAATGAACTCGACTGATTCAGCAAAGGAGAGCAGTCAAATATCAGCCAGACGTGCCAGAAGCTGGTTGATGGATACAAAAGCATGTGGTTGGGGTGCATCTTGCTAAGAGGCATTTAACCTGACATTTGTGGGGGTGTATGTATATATCTGAGCCTGACAGCCTTGAGACTCACTTCCTTCACAGTCACCTTCCTACAGGTCTGCTCTGCAGCAGGAAAAACTCAGAATTTCTTGGACTCTTCGTATCGTTCTCAGTTTGTTTCAGCGGATCCTCAAACACGAGGCTTTGCCTGTTTTCTCACTTTAATCTCGCCGTCATGTGACTCACGTTTTCTTTTTCTGCCCTCCATCAGATGTGATCAAATCGATCCGTGACCCAGAGAAGCCCAACACCCTGGAGGAGCTGGAGGTGGTGACGGAGAAGTGCGTGGAGGTGCAGGAGCTCGGAGAAGACGAGTACCTCATCATCATCAGGTTCTCCCCCACCGTCCCCCACTGCTCCCTGGCTACGCTGATCGGTGAGTCCATGATTGAACCAGTCTGAGTTATTTCAGCTCCTGTTAGGAGGACAACTCAAAATATTCCAGATAATCTATTTCTGAGGTTTATGGAAAATCTTTGCAGGAGACGCTTACAGGAGGAACCGCATTTGAAAAACGAATCTTAGCTTCAACAAAAAGAAACCAGAGTGAAAGATCAACATGAGCCTAAAGACAAGACTGAACACTCAAAAATGAAATCGAGCTAAAAACAATCAGGAACTAAAAAGTTCAAACAACCACCAGTCACACAAGAGTCTGTGATCCACCCCAGAAGCTGTTAGTTGGGATGCTGTGTGCAGCGTAAGTAACACTGCACACCTCATAAACTCCTGTTTTATCTCCTGGAGCACAGAGACATGTGTCCAGTGTTTAAACTGAGAAAATGAACCACTATGATAAAACAATGAGCTCATTTTGAATCTGATGGCAGGAACGTGTTTCTCACTGCGTCCGCTCGTCTTTTACATCAGCGCATAAATGTCTGAGCCAAAGAGAGCAGCTGCTCGACGTAGTTTGGTGCAGATTGTGAACCTCTGCTCGTCTTTCCTTCTCACACTCTTTTTATTCCCAGACATGTTACTGACCTGCTGCCAGTGACCCGATTACCTCGGCCGAGGTGACCCGCTCTGTGTTTGGTGTCATTCTGTCTGTGGACGCGTAGCTGGATACACTGTGTCAGGGCTTCAGGTAGAGCAGGGTCAGGTTAGTTTCCATGATTCTTACAGGTGTGTTGTCAGCATATAGAAAGTACTGTCTACAGATTTCAAAGTATGTAAGTGTCGTCAGGTTAGTCAGAAATATACTGCAGTATAATATTATATAATACTTAGTCCTGCATACAGTTTGTGTAATCAGAGTAAACCTCTGTCACACTGCCCGTATCTGCAAACTTGTTAAAGTAGATTTAATAAGAGCAAAGAAAACAAATGAACATGTAGAAAACAGCCTCGTGCTCAGAGAGCGAGCTGCCCGCTGCTTCTCCTTCTTACAAAATGTTCCTCTCTTCCATGGACAACAGTAAAAGTCTCCGTTTAAACATTTGATGTCTTTTCTCTCTTCTGTTGGGAATAAAACATGAATATTTATGAGAGCTGCACATCGCTGAATTCTTGTGCAACGGGGTCGTAACCACCTGATTTATTTTAATTAGAAGTTTGTTTCCCTTTTAATCACAGTCCAGTCTCTCCATCACCTCTGTAAGGCCGCCATGCTGGCAGCCACAGAGCTCGTACTTATTATTCTGGACGTCCTCACAGCGTCCAGAGTCCGCCCGAGGACGCTCTTAATGTGATGAGCAGCAGGAAATAACCAGCGCCTCGCTTTTAGCTCAAAGCGATCTCTGGAAGG